TAAGGTGATAGTTTGGAGTGACAAGTGAGTGGGCATAAAGAAGAAAAAATATAACGTTTCGGAGTGACAAGTGAGTGGGCATAAAGAAGAAAAAATATAACGTTTCGGAGTGACAAGTGAGTGGGCATAAAGAAGAAGAAATATAACGTTTCGGAGTGACAAGTTGTGGTCATAAAGAAGAAGAATTATAATGTTTCGTAGTGACAAATCAGTGAGGTCAAAAAGAAGAAATGACAAAGCTTTGGAGTGACTAGTAAGTGTGGTCAGAAGAAATAATGATGCTTTGGATGGAAAAGTGGGTGTGGTAAAAAGAATAAGATTTCAGTTTTAATAAATCACTGAACAGGTGTAAAGTATAAAAATACGTTTTTAATAAAACAGTGTACGTATATCACAGCAGTGTTTTCTGATGAAATATTTGCACTTTTAAATATCTTACTCTCGAGCCCGATGACTTGTTGATTAGGGTGCTCGAGTCTCAATTCGTGAGTCTCGTGTTGTAATCCCCATCGCCGAACATACTCGCTCTTTCATCCGTGTGGTGTTATAATGTGACGGTCAATCCCAGTATTTGTTGGTAAAAGAGTAGTCCAGGGGTTGGTGTTGGATGGAGTTGACTAGCTGCCTTCCCCCTAATCTTTCACTAAGAGAGAGTGTTTGTGAGTTTGCATATTTATGCATAAATGCTGATTAAGTGGTTCTTAGAACTTTGTGTATTGTAGTGAGTAATGAGTTTTGTATTGTTTGTAATTTGTTAGTATGTTTTGGTGCTATATTTATCCATGCTAGGCATGCATATTCAGTTACTGGTCTCATACTGTTTTGTAAATTTTGATTATGTTGTTTGCCGTAGTTCCGTAGTTTTTACCCGTTAGACTCCTACCATAACTTGTGTGTTGCCAAACTGTTTGAGAATATTATTTATGTGGTTAACCCATGTTAACTTAGAATCATAGGTTAATCCTAGAAATTTGGCTGAAGTTGCTGTCTGGAGAAGTGTTCCATTCATATATAGTTTAGGTGGATTTTTTGGGGTTTTTATTTGTTTTGTAACTACTAGCAGTTGGTTTTGGGGGACATTAATCTTAATTCTCTATTTTTGGCAATATTCCTCAAAATTGTTTTATTGGGGGTTGTAAATTTGTTGCTGCTATTGATAGTATGGGAGCACTTTTCCAAAGTGGAACATCATCAGCAAATTGTGAATAATATCCTTGATTTGGATCTTGTAGCGGCATATTGTTAACATACATGATGAATAGGACAGGTGTTCAAATAATAGCCTGAATATCATCTTCTCCTGGAGCTTTGTTTTTCGTTGCTTTGATTGCTTGTATGACATCTGTTTCTGTTATTATTTTTGTCAGTCGATACGTTATCGGAATTATTACTATCGGATTATTACTATCGAATTAATTATATCGGATTATTACTATCGAATTATAATATCGGATTATTACTATCGAATTAATAATATCGGA